TTAAACAAATCAGCAAGATCCATGATCAAGAACATACCCAGGGCTTGAGGGGTAAACCCATGTAGATGCTGAAACTGCAAATCAAAAAGGTAGGAACAACAACAAACAGAGAAGAATTAGAAGAAAGGGAATTTTGTCAAGAAAGTCCAAACAGAGATCAATGATTCGATAAGAATCAATAATCGCACCATTAACTTTCTCTCGTTCTCTTTCTCTAGTGACATATTCTCCATTCTCTCCTTGCGGAGGGTTCTTCATGACAGTGTGGAGGAAGGTGGTGCTTGAAGCAGGACCGGTGATGGCGATGAAAAGATTGAAGGATATGACGATTTCTGAGAATGACTTTAAGGAGAAGATTGAGGAAGCGGGAGGGAGAGGATTGGAAAAAAGCTAGTAAAAGTTGATTCGTGTCAGAAAAAAATAAAATGACGTGGTATCACCGTTAGCCACCTTAGCGGATTTTTAACGTCGTTGATTTTGGAAGACCAAAACTTATAGTTTCCTTAAGAAGAATCAAGTGTACCTTATTTTGAAAGAGGGACTAAAAACAAATTCGCTTGTAGTTTAGGAGCTAAAAACATATTTAATCCTTATAATAAAAGTCAATTGCATTAAATGTTTCTTACTTTAAACAATTTAATTCCAGTGTTATTTCTAAAAAACTATTTTGCAAAATAAAATGTACTTTTTAAGGGGAAATATTTTTTAATAACTTTTTTATATCCGTTTGAAAATAAATTCAAATAAACTAATAAAATAGTATTACGTGACTTATTGTCAGAAAGTTATTATAAAAATTTACCTTTCTTAAAATAAGATTTATAACTATCTCATACTAAGGTTTGTTATCTTTATCAACACAATTTTAAGTTAATCACCATGTTAGGATCAATAATTATTTTCTTTGAGACAATATTGATTTTGAAATTTAAAATTTTACTACAATTTTATCTTAGAAAAAGATATTTTAAAAAATTGAAAGAAAAATAATATTTAAATTATGATTAATCTTAATTTTAAAATAATGTATAACACAATCTATACATTATAATTTAACTTAACTTTTAATTAATTGAAGTCTTTAATAATATATTTTCAAGAAAATTAGGTTATAAATCCCGTCTAATACTTATAATATAAGTTAGTTCTTTCATTAGGTGTAAGAAGACAATTTTGTTTGTTTTTTAAATTCTACATCTATTAAATAGACAAAGTATATAAATCTCACTTGTAAACTAGTTTTGTATTATTAAATTACATTTAAAGTTTACTTTTTAATATATTATTTAAAATTTAATAGAGAGATTTATTATATTTTGATTTATCTTAATCTCACCGGATATAACTGGTTGGTAAACCATCATAAAAATCTAGTTTTATGCTCAAAATATGTCTTTTAATAATTTTAATAATATCACTTTATTAACTTTAATCAATATATAATTTATTTAAGTATACTCTCTCTGGATAAAAGTATGCTTCTATCCAGTAATATTTTGGGAATCCTTTCCAACAATCCGAACAATAGATAGGTAAATTTCAGAAAATCAATTCTACACTCAACATATTCTTTTAAACATTCCCTATGTAGAAGAAGAAAACTATAAAACACTGATATATAGGATTGAATATCAAATACTATCCATTTCGTCAAAATCTTAATACTAAAGTTTTCATGATTAAAATCTAGTTTGTATCAGAAAAAATATAGAAAAAGAGAAAAGTTTTTAAAACTTAAGATTTTAGAATAAATTAAAAAAATAATATCTAACTTCTATCCTATTTATTTTGAAATTTAATATTAAAATGTCATGGGTCTTTTGTTTAATTTATTTTTTATATAAATGCATGCAAATAATCTTGGTAAAGTACGTACACTTGATTATTTGTAATTATTTTATAGATTACTAATTTAAGGCTTTCAAATATTTGTGATCTAAAGTTTAAGTCCCTAAAACAGCGAAAGACAAATTTAAAGAAATGAAAATGACAATTTTATATGATTTAAAGAACTTATTCAATTTGATAAAATTTTCACTAACTAATACAGCATAATATTTAAGATCCTAATAAAACAAATTTACTATTGTTTTTTCTTAAGTGATATATTAATCCATATAGTAAAATATATACTAGTATAAATATAAAATCAATTTACCATAATTCATATTAAAGTATGGATATTGTATTATGTTGTTAAAATGGATCGTCTTTTGTTGGCTTTATTGACAGAATGAAAATTACCAGTCAAAACCGGATTTCAACACAGAAGAAATACACTGTCATTGAATTTTTCGACATTTGATGATTGTGCAGGTAATCCGTTTAACATGCGGAGGATTTGTTTTCGCTGCTCGCATGAACCACACAATCTGTGACTCATTGGGGTTGGTGCAATTTCTGACCATGGTGGGTGAGATTGCAAGAGGTGCTTCCATAACCAAGTTCCCTGTGTGGCAGAGAGAGTTATTCAGTGCAAGGAACCCACCAAGAATCACATGTGCACACAACGAATATGAAACCCAACATTGCCAGAAAGAAACATGGGACACCCACGAAATGGACCATGGATTATTTTTCTTTGGTCCCATAGAGATTGCAACCCTTCGGAGTCACCTTCCCATGCACCTCCAAAATTCTTCAACTTTTGAGGTGCTCTCTGCCTGTTTGTGGAAATGTCGAACCATAGCACTTGGGCTCAAACCCAACGAGAGTGTGGGCTTGTCACCCTTTATTACTGCTCGAGGCAAATTGGGCCAACAAGTGCCCAATGGGTATTATGGCAATGCCTTTGCCTTCCCAATGGCTCTTGCCAGGGTCGGGCCTTTGTGCCAAAACCCATTGGGGTATGCATTGGAGTTAGTAAAAAAGGCAAAGGCTCAGATGGGTGCGGAATATGTCAGTTCTGTGGCTGATCTTATGGTTCTAAAGGGTCGACCCAAGTATAGGACTGAAGGGAACTACCTTATTGGGGACACTACTCATGTGGGGTTCTATGAAGTGGATTTTGGGTGGGGGAGTCCTATATATGGAGGACCTGCTGGGGCTATACCTTTTGTTAGCTTCTATGGACGTTTTAGGAACAGTGAAGGAGAGGATGTAATTGTGGTGCCAATTTTGTTGCCACACCATGTCATGAGGAGGTTTCTCTCTGAACTGGTAAAGATCACAAACAAGGACCCTATGGACTTTTCTGATGAGAATATGCCAAATAGGTCCATGCTGTAACTCTGCTGTAACACTAAATTTGTATACTGTTAGTATAAGCAAACTATTTCCTAATAAAATATAGTTCTGTAAGCTTTAATTTATTTGATTTGGACCCATTAAAAGTTTGGTTGCTTTCATTGAGACTGAGACTGTGATTTGGGTGGCCAATAACCTGTTTGATATCAAGTTTTTGAGGCCACTTTCAAATTTGAAAATCGTGGTGCTGTTGCTGATGTAATTTGTTTTACAATTATCTTTTCATGTGCTTTCTTGTCACGAGAGAGACAATCTGTGATGGGATCGCATTGTGTCATTGTGCATGTGAAGCGTTTACTATTTTCAAAAACGTTCTTTGAATTCAACACAATAATATAGGCATATTGAGGCATGTTAATTTGACTAATGGAAGCAAGCTCTTGTGTATGAATTTTCTCCCCAAGAGAAAGTCAAAGGAAGTAGGCCGAATTGTAAGTGCTGCAGAGTTTGTGAGGTTGTTGAGTTAATTAGGCAGGTTTGTGTCCATGTGCTTAGGAAATGCCAGCATCTTGATAAGTGCTGCAGAGCTCCCAAAGCTTTTTCACTTTCTTGCAGTAATGTTTAGTTTCTTTTAGTGCTTTCACTGTATGCATGATGGCAATGGGACGATTTGCATGAGATTTGTGACTCTGTTTTGATTGAAAAATAATGATTAGGGGGGATGAGTTTTCAAGGTATGTTGCGTGAATGAGTGGTGTGAAAGACAAAGAAAGTCAGATTAATAGTTTCTATATTTCGAATCTGTCCAAGGATTATAGTCACTTTATAAAAGTACTCTGTTGATCTATGAATAAATTATAAGAATAAAAGGCAGCTTTCAAAAATTCTCTAACAACAACTTGGATGGATGATTAAAATAATATCTCAACGGTTCTTCTCGTTTCAATTAAATCAATAAAATACCCTACAAATTCTATTCTTATTTCTGCTAATTTAAACCTTAATCTTTTTTTCCTTTTTATTCATTCCCTTATTTTTCTTCCTCTTTCCAAACACAAACTAAAATATGAAATTATTTTTAATGCTTTGAACAAAAAAATAATTATGTTTTTATTTGATTTTAAAATATATAAAATTTCAAATTTCACACTTTATATCTTAACTATTTAGTTTTTATTTATTTACCAAATTCATCATCTCAATACTTTTTTTTATTCTTCTTATCTTTTTTTTGTCTTTCTCATAGTTTTTATTATTTTTGCAATCAGACAACACTATTGAGTCTGCATGAGATTCAACTTTGATTGATCAGAAAAGTAAGTTTATTTTTATTTTTTAAATATTTTATTTGTTTTTTTTATTGGATATATATTTAGACATTTCACAATGTTATGAGATGAGAAGATAGTGTTTCATCAATATCAACATTGATGTTGATATTTGGGGTTCTGACTTTTATATCTTAAGACATATCTTTGCAGCTTAGAGAGCAAACGATTATCATGAGAAGAGCTGATAACTTAAATTTATTTTAATTTAGTTCTGAAGTTAAGATGAAAATTTATTTGGAGTTAATATTTGAGATATCTATTCTGGATTTATAAATCACAATGTTAAACTAGTTTGATGTTTGCAAATAGTCATTTTAAATTAGGATTATTTTTTGATAAAATTCATATTTGGATTAGTTATCGTTATTTTAATCTTGTTAGAACAAAACTAGATAAGTAGAAGATGTTTCAATGAAATTTTTGTTTGAAATGAAATTATTTTAATTTTGAATTCTATGTTAACATGAAATGTAGTGCTTTATTTGGATTAAAATGTCACAATGTGATTTTGAAAACAATAAGAAACTATAACGAAGTTATGAAACCTATTAGAATTAATACTCTTTTTTTATCCTTGCTTGCATGTTATAGACTTTGTATAATTTTATTTTTTTGACATTTTGCTAAAAAAAATAGGAGAAATCTTTCTCTTTATGAATATTTTTCGATTCAAGTGAAAATTATTCGGACACAATTCTTTTTTTCTTAAAAGGATTTTCTTTAAAGTAAAAACTATCTCACTTCGAAATTGTTGTTTACTTAGTGAAAGTTTTTGCAAATAAACACTTGTTACAAGGTGAATTTTATTATATAATTGAAGTTTTTTGAGTTTATAAGTGTTATATATAAGTTCTATGATTAAATAAAAATGCTTACAATATTATATATTGAATAACATTAAATGTAAAATGTGTTGCCGATGATAAAATTATGAATAAAAAAAGTATTTGATAAACAATGATGTGAGTAATTATCTAAGTGATATTAAGATCAATATCTAAAGATTTATTATTTATTTGACATGTTGAAATGTGGTTCATCTGTGTTAAAATAAACAAATATTATGTAATGAAGAAATAATGAATATATCATATGCTAAGTATTCAACTAGAATTATAGAAATTATTTATCAAGTCTTTAACGAGATTTATATTAGAGTAATTAGATTAATAGAAATATTGAATTGATAAGAGATTTTAGTATTTGATGTTTGAACTTAATACTGATTTTTTTTTACGATCAATAGAGTTTCTTGTGATATAAATATTTAATGTAACTTTTAATAGAAATCTATTGAAATTATTTGTTTGTTATTTGTGTTATATATTTAATTAAAATATAACTCGTTCTTTTGCTTATATTTAATATGAATTGTCTATTATGATAGTGTTTTAATATAAGAGTGTATGATTGTGCATGTGTTGGATAAGAAGGAAGTGAATGATTTTCTTAGAACTTTAAACATTAATGTTTAGTTGTTATGCTTTTTATTTATACATTTAAAGTTTTCAATATTTAAGTATAATTACATATTGAAAGTATATGCATGGTTTTGGGTGTTAGACAAAATGTTTCAAGAGTTTTTATAAACAATTTACCTAATTATCAAAAAGGAAGAATTTATTACTTTAATTATGATGTGATACTATTGAGATATTTTTTATCTTATCAAACTAACTTAAATTTGACTATTGCTATCTTTTTCATGACTAATATATCTTATGACTTAATATCGATATGGAATCTTGAATTAAAAATTATTTATTGATGACAAAATTATCTCATATTTCATTGTTGACTTGAATTTAATTACCATATATTTACCCTATCAAACATAGATGAATTGAATTAATATTCTTTCTAAAATGATCAATTCAATCTAATACTCAAATTCACTTAATTAGTCCAAAACTTATGACTAAATAAATTAGAAGTTCATGGGTGTGGATTTTGTGAAGAAAGTGTGAAAAGTAATAATACAAAATAATTCAATTTTCCATTTTCTTTTTTTCTCAAATTCATATTTTTTTACTCCCTCAGATCTACTTTGAGAAACAAACAAAGCTTTATGGTTCAATGAATAATAACCATGTCATGATTTTATCATTTAGATTGTTTTATCCTCCTATCATTGAAGAAGATGAAATGGATTGGTGTGTCATTTTAGTAAGGACAAAAGAAGAAGAGAAGACAAAGGTTGGAAGAAGTAGGAATGTCATGTATGAAAGAAAGCAATTGTTATTAGTCCCACAACACTGAAATTAATTAATTAATAAAATGAAAAAATGTTATGAGATTTAACCCCCGCACGATTACCGGGCTATTCTTTGTCTGGATGGTGTTATAGAGTAAGTGTTCAATATTTTATGCCCATTCAAACATCAAAATACACAAAGAACAGGCACCACACATATATATAAGTAATTTTTAAATTCTTTACACAATTTGATATATTTAAGTTCAAATATCAATTTAAAAGATCACATTAAAAAAATTGATATTGTGTTAGATTAAAATAATTTTATTTATTTATTTTTAAAATTTAAAAAGAAAAATATATCCGAAATTTAAAACTGAAACTAATTATAGTTTTAAAGAATAAAAATATATTTAAGTGTTTAACATAAAAAAATTAATTGATAATTAAATTTAGTTTAATCCTTTTCGACATCCGAATGTCTCAATTGGGTTCTCGTTTTTTAAAGTGTATCAAAATGGTCCTTAATTTTGAAAATTGATATCAATTGAGTCCTTTCCGTTAAGTTGGCTGGACGGCGTTAAAAAAATTGATGAGTGGATGCTGAGATGACGAACGAACGCTCGTCCACCAGCGAACGAACGCTCGTCCA